TAAACAAGCTTGGTTACAGCTAGCTACCGTTCGGATATCACGGGAATCGGATTATCGGGGTCCGGACTAACGTGGCCTGCCTGTGTATCTGGAATAGCACATGGTAGGCGGATGGTATGTAGTACTCTTGGTCTCGGCGTATCAAAGGTTTGTGACGGCGGATTTCAATGGCTTCCAAAGTTTTCTTTTTGTGAAATCCTGATTATTGGTGGATAGCATTGCATCTTTGTCAAACAGGAATAGATGACTGGGGAATTTATAGACATGGCCCTCTCAGCTTGATTTCACTGGTTTTACTACTTAATCCCTCCTCCTCATTGGCTTCATGGGCCGTTCTATTTGTTGTACTCACTGCCCACCTAGCTTATTGGCTTCATGGGCCGTTCTATTTGTTGTTCACTGCCCACCTGGCTTATTGGCTTCATGGGCCGTTCTATTTGTTGTACTCACTGCCCACCTAGCTTATTGGCTTCATGGGCCGTTCTATTTGTTGTACTCACTGCCCACCTGGCTTATTGGCTTCATGGGCCGTTCTATTTGTTGTACTCACTGCCCACCTGGCTTATTGGCTTCATGGGCCGTTCTATTTGTTGTACTCACTGCCCACCTGGCTTATTGGCTTCATGGGCCGTTCTATTTGTTGTACTCACTGCCCACCTAGCTTATTGGCTTCATGGGCCGTTCTATTTGTTGTACTCACTGCCCACCTGGCTTATTGGCTTCATGGGCCGTTCTATTTGTTGTACTTACTGCCCACCTGGCTTATTGGCTTCATGGGCCGTTCTATTTGTTGTACTTACTGCCCACCTGGCTTATTGGCTTCATGGGCCGTTCTATTTGTTGTACTCCACTGCCCACCTGGCTTATTGGCTTCATGGGCCGTTCTATTTGTTGTACTCACTGCCCACCTAGGCTTATTGGCTTCATGGGCCGTTCTATTTGTTGTACTCACTGCCCACCTGGCTTATTGGCTTCATGGGCCGTTCTATTTGTTGTACTCACTGCCCACCTGGCTTATTGGCTTCATGGGCCGTTCTATTTTTTGTACTTTACTGCCCACCTGGCTTATTGGCTTCATGGGCCGTTCTATTTGTTGTACTCACTGCCCACCTGGCTTATTGGCTTCATGGGCCGTTCTATATTTCTTGTGTACTCCTCCCCACCTGGCTTATTGGCTTCATGGGCCGTTCTATTTTCTTGTACTTTACTGCCCACCTGGCTTATTGGCTTCATGGGCCGTTCTATTTGTTGTACTCACTGCCCACCTAGCTTATTGGCTTCATGGGCCGTTCTATTTGTTGTACTCACTGCCCACCTGGCTTATTGGCTTCATGGGCCGTTCTATATTTCTTGTACTTACTGCCCACCTGGCTTATTGGCTTCATGGGCCGTTCTATATTTCTTTATTGTACTTTCTCCCCCACCTGGCTTTGTTGGCTGCCCACCTGGCTTATTGGCTTCATGGGCCGTTCTATTTCTTGTACTTACTGCCCACCTGGCTTATTGGCTTCATGGGCCGTTCTATATTTCTTGTACTTCACCTGGCAGCTTATTGGCTTCATGGGCCGTTCTATATTTCTTGTACTTACTGCCCACCTGGCTTATTGGCTTCATGGGCCGTTCTATATTTCTTGTACTTACTGCCCACCTGGCTTATTGGCTTCATGGGCCGTTCTATATTTGTTGTACTTACTCCCCACCTGGCTTATTGGCTTCATGGGCCGTTCTATATTTCTTGTACTTACTCCCCACCTGGCTTATTGGCTTCATGGGCCGTTCTATATTTCTTGTACTTACTCCCCACCTGGCTTATTGGCTTCATGGGCCGTTCTATGTTTCTTGTACTTACTCCCCACCTGGCTTATTGGCTTCATGGGCCGTTCTATATTTCTTGTACTTACTCCCCACCTGGCTTATTGGCTTCATGGGCCGTTCTATATTTCTTGTACTTACTCCCCACCTGGCTTATTGGCTTCATGGGCCGTTCTATATTTCTTGTACTTACTCCCCACCTGGCTTATTGGCTTCATGGGCCGTTCTATATTTGTTGTACTTACTCCCATCTGGCTTATTGGCTTCATGGGCCGTTCTATATTTGTTGTACTTACTCCCCACCTGGCTTATTGGCTTCATGGGCCGTTCTATATTTGTTGTACTTACTACCCACCTGCCCTGTTCCCAGCATGTACCGCATGTTATTCAATTACATGCCTGTTGTTACCGTTCATCTGCTGTTTGTCACAACGTACTATGTATACATGCTTCTCATCACTTGGTTGTTGTCACTTGTAGCTTAATGACGGTGTGAGAATCTACATCGAAACGTAGCGCTTCGACTAATGCTTAGTCTCTGAATATATATAATTTTGATAGTAACAAATAAACCCATTGAAATTGAAAAGGAGCCCCAGGGAGACCAGAGATTCTGAACCTGAGTAAATCTAGACTTGCGATATTTATGGCTTAGCATTGCAGACAGGGCTTGGCAGTAGGGAAAATAATGTGAAACAAGAAACTGGTATTCATGAAGTCATACGCTTCTGTAATTGACTGAACATTTAAATCTCTAAACATTTTGAACTTTTAAAGCATCTGGCATCATTTACAATTTAAACTTATAAAACCTCTAAAAATTACAGTCTCGCTGTTAATTCCCAGCATGGAAACACTCACTATCCCGGGTAGCTCGGATGGTAGGGTAACATGGCGGCCTCCCATTCCCGAATGCAAACTTCAAGTGTCCATCATCACTACGGGAATAAGTAGAGTCAAACAAGAGCATTCAATCACTCACTCACTCATTTCACTGCTATGTAAAGGCTGATCTAGCCGGGCTGTGTTTACTACCTATAGAGCCAGCTCCCATGTTCCAGGTACTGGGAATGGGACGCCCCGAATGTATCCCGAAATCTCCTCATCGAAATGCTCAATGACCGATTACAAAATGACAGAAAATGATACAACAATGCTTGAAAGAAATCCTTCAATTTCAACACTGGCATGTTACACATGTGAAATGTTGACGACCAAACATTACCGCGACAATCTGAGCTTCAATCACTTGCGGTGAAGGCTCTCAGTATCTGACACAACATCAAAGGAGACAAAATCCCTGCTTAAAACTGAAGCAGCGTACAACGTAGGGACGGCGGCAGTGGCGATATTGATCTAGCGTAACCTGGGGTGGTTTCGTGGTGGTGATGTTCCAGCCCCAGTTGAGGAGAGACAGATGCTAAACATCCTAATGAACAAACACCGGGACACCTCAGTTAAACAACATAATGTCTCAACAATAAGATACACAACAATGCTTGGTCTGTATTAATATAAAAATATAGTTATGGCATGGTCAGCCGAATACAACAATGCTTGATCTGTATTAATATATAATATATTTATGGCATGGTCAGCCAAATACAACAATGCTTGATCTGTATTGATATGAAATATAGATATGACAACAATGCTTGACATTGATATGAAATATAGACAATCATATTGACAATCAAAAATGTGAAAATGTCCATGACTTAAATGATTATACTACATTTAGTTCTCTTTTACCAGTCTACCCGTGAAGATCCGGAATAGAATGAACCTTCAGTTACCCATGCTTGTCTACCCGTGAAGATCCGGAATAGAATGAACCTTCAGTTATCCATGCTTGTCTACCCGTGAAGGTCCGGAATAGAATGAACCTTCAGTTATCCATGCTTGTCTACCCGTGAAGGTCCGGAATAGAATGAACCTTCAGTTACCCATGCTTGTCTACCCGTGAAGGTCCGGAATAGAATGAACCTTCAGTTATCCATGCTTGTCTACCCATGAAGGTCCGGGTTAGAATGAACCTTCAGTAACCCATGCTTGTCTACCCGTGAAGGTCCGGGTTAGAATGAACCTTCAGTTACCCATGCTTGTCTACCCGTGAAGGTCCGAATAGAATGAACCTTCAGTTACCCATGCCTGTCTACCCGTGAAGTCCGGAATAGAATGAACCTTCAGTTACCCATGCTTGTCTACCCGTGAAGGTCCGGAATAGAATGAACCTTCAGTTATCCATGCTTGTCTACCTGTGAAGGTCCGGAATAGAATGAACCTTCAGTAACCCATGCCTGTCTACCCGTGAAGGTCCGGAATAGAATGAACCTTCAGTTACCCATGCTTGTCTCCCGTGAAGGTCCGGGTTAGAATGAACCTTCGGTAACCCATGACTGTCTACCCGTGAAGATCCGGAATAGAATGAACCTTCAGTTACCCATGCCTGTCTACCCGTGAAGGTCCGGAATAGAATGAACCTTCAGTTATCCATGCTTGTCTACCTGTGAAGGTCCGGAATAGAATGAACCTTCAGTAACCCATGCTTGTCTACCCGTGAAGGCCCGGAATAGAATGAACCTTCAGTTACCCATGCCTGTCTACCCGTGAAGTTCCGGAATAGAATGAACCTTCAGTTACCCATGCTTGTCTACCCGTGAAGGTCCGGGTTAGAACGAACCTTCAGTAACCCATGCTTGTCTACCCGTGAAGATCCGGGTTAGAATGAACCTTCAGTAACCCATGCTTGTCATAAGAGGCGACTAACGGGATCGGGTGGTCAGGATCGCTGGCTTGGTTGACACATGTCATCGGTTACCAGTTGCGCAGGTCAATGGTCAGGCTGTTGATCACTGGATTGTCTGGTCCAGGCTCGATTATTTACAGACCGTACCATATAGCTGGAATATTGCTGAGTGCGGCGTAACACTAAACTCACTCACTCACTCTTTTACCAGTCCATCTAAATCTCAATCAAATATTTATCCATAAATGTTGATACATGTATTTTGAAATAAGCAATGCTCCCAAGGTAAAAACAACAACAACAGGTTTCAGCTTTAACCATGTCTCCAAGGTTTTAGCAATATAAATATCCATATGGAGAATCTCTGTCTCGCTCTCTGTCTCTCTGTGAACACACGCCCCGACTGCAAGTGCAACTTCACGGAGATACGATACAGCTCTCAGTCAACAACAAAACGTTGTATGACCTGTCCACTACAGAGACGGCCAGGGAAGGACCCTCCGACCACACCCTCCAGGTAGACGTCCTGTCCACTACAGAGACGGCCAGGGAAGGACCCTCCGACCACACCCTCCAGGTAGACGCCCTGTCCACTACAGAGACGGCCAGGGAAGGACCCTCCGACCACACCCTCCAGGTAGACGCCCTGTCCACTACAGAGACGGCCAGGGAAGGACCCTCCGACCACACCCTCCAGGTAGACGCCCTGTCCACTACAGAGACGGCCAGGGAAGGACCCTCCGACCACACCCTCCAGGTAGACGCCCTGTCCACTACAGAGACGGCCAGGGAAGGACCCTCCGACCACACCCTCCAGGTAGACGCCCTGTCCACTACAGAGACGGCCAGGGAAGGACCCTCCGACCACACCCTCCAGGTAGAGGCCCTGTCCACTACAGAGACGGTCAGGGAAGGACCCTCCGACCACACCCTCCAGGTAGACGCCCTGCCCACTACAAAGGCGGGCCAACACAGCAATATGGCGCGCTTTGCTACATGGTATCATTGTGCCTGATGTTTACCATGCATGTCTAGTCTTACTGCTCATTGAAATTGATCTATGGCAACTGTGTGTGTTTAGAGGGATGAGAAGTGACGAGTATCTCTCTCATACATGGATACTAGAACGTGTTTTCCACACGATAAATCATTAACTAATGTGTGTTAAATGTAAGCAGGAAACGTCGGTTAAATAATCTTCTTTCTTCATCACCAAGTAATAGCGTTTACAAAACATGAAAATGAAACATATTAAACTGTGGATCATCGAAATCGATAAACATCCTTGTTAATTGCTGACAGTTCCTCATTGAATCCTTTAGGCATACTGATTAAGGGTAGAGTGTGCAGGTTGATAGAGGATGGACACAGAACTATAGAAGGGGACTTCATCAAACCAGATATTACTCAGACGTCAGGGTGGTAAAGATGATACAGGTGTTCTCAGACAGACAAGTTCTTGGTGGCCCACATCATATTCAGCATTGAGCCAGCAACGGTCCAGTACCATGATAAATGTGTATAATGGATGACCAATTACGAGTATACCACGTATGTAAATCTGTACCATGGATGACCAGTTACGAGTATACCACGAATGTAAATGTGTATCATGGATGACCAGTTACGAGTATACCACGAATGTAAATGTGTATAATGGATGACCAGTTACGAGTATACCACGAATGTAAATGTGTATAATGGATGACCAATTACGAGTATACCACGTATGTAAATCTGTACCATGGATGACCAGTTACGAGTATACCACGAATGTAAATGTGTATAATGGACGACCAGTTACGAGTATACCACGAATGTAAATGTGTATCATGGATGACCAGTTACGAGTATACCACGTATGTAAATGTGTATAATGGATGACCAATTACGAGTATACCACGTATGTAAATCTGTACCATGGATGACCAGTTACGAGTATACCACGAATGTAAATGTGTATAATGGACGACCAGTTACGAGTATACCACGAATGTAAATGTGTATCATGGATGACCAGTTACGAGTATACCACGAATGTAAATGTGTATCATGGATGACCAGTTACGAGTATACCACGAATGTAAATGTGTATCATGGATGACCAGTTACGAGTATACCACGAATGTAAATGTGTATAATGGATGACCAATTACGAGTATACCACGAATGTAAATGTGTATCAAGGATGACCAGTTACGAGTATACCATGAATGTAAATGTGTATCATGGATGACCAGTTACGAGTATACCACGAATGTAAATGTGTATAATGGATGACCAGTTACGAGTATACCATGAATGTAAATGTGTATCATGGATGACCAGTTACGAGTATACCACGTATGTAAATGTGTATCATGGATGACCAGTTACGAGTATACCATGAATGTAAATGTGTATCATGGATGACCAGTTACGAGTATACCACGTATGTAAATGTGTATAATGGATGACCAGTTACGAGTATACCATGAATGTAAATGTGTATCATGGATGACCAGTTACGAGTATACCACGTATGTAAATGTGTATCATGGATGACCAGTTACGAGTATACCACGAATGTAAATGTATCATCATGGATGACCAGTTACGAGTATACCACGGATGATGTAAATGTGTATGTAAATGTATGTATAATGGATGACCAATTACGAGTATACCACGTATGTAAATCTGTACCATGGATGACCAGTTACGAGTATACCACGAATGTAAATGTGTATAATGGATGACCAGTTACGAGTATACCACGAATGTAAATGTGTATCATGGATGACCAGTTACGAGTATACCACGAATGTAAATGTGTATCATGGATGACCAGTTACGAGTATACCACGAATGTAAATGTGTATCATGGATGACCAGTTACGAGTATACCACGAATGTAAATGTGTATAATGGATGACCAGTTACGAGTATACCACGAATGTAAATGTGTATCAATGGATGACCAGTTACGAGTATACCATGAATGTAAATGTGTATCATGGATGACCAGTTACGAGTATACCACGTATGTAAATGTGTATAATGGATGACCAGTTACGAGTATACCATGAATGTAAATGTGTATCATGGATGACCAGTTACGAGTATACCACGTATGTAAATGTGTATCATGGATGGCCAGTTACGAGTATACCATGAATGTAAATGTGTATCATGGATGACCAGTTACGAGTATACCACGTATGTAAATGTGTATCATGGATGACCAGTTACGAGTATACCATGAATGTAAATGTGTATAATGGATGACCAGTTACGAGTATACCACGTATGTAAATGTGTATCATGGATGATCAGTTACGAGTATACCACGTATGTAAATGTGTATAATGGATGACCAGTTACGAGTATACCACGAATGTAAATGTGTATAAACACACAATGCAGATAAACGAATTGCACCTTGGCTCTGTTAGCTTCAGACATACTGGCCGTGGATTATGTCCGATGCTCGTTATCAGTGTGATCCTGGCAGGATTGAGATAGTGGTACGTGGCCATTAGTCTTTGATATTTCCAGTTTCCAATAACATATAATATCATGAAATATTTGTAAAACTTTGCCCACATTCTCCATGTTAATAGAGGAAAGACATACTACCACCCAGTTGACTCGACCCTGGTCAACTGGGATGACCAGTCAATGCTGTATATACACGGCTACCCACTCATGAAGTCCCGCGTCAATCTACTCACGTGTCAGTACTCATTAAGTCAGACGTGATTTAGTCGAGGGTGCGAGTAATGTAATCACTGATCTGCTGACACATTGGCAGAGGACGTCCACGTAGAAGCGTTGGAGATATCCATTTCACACATCTGTGTGTGTCAGATTGCATTTCAAGAATTGATTGCTGCCTAAACCAAATAAAATTTAACAATTAGAAAAAATATCAGAATTTCTAGGAAAAGAACCTAAGAGAAATAGAGAAGATGAACTCCACTGAATAATGCGCATATGGAATTCCGGCTGACGAGACACATGACACCGGGGCTTGCCAGGACAGATTGATGCAGATCCTGCAGGATACACAACACCGGGACTTGCCAGGACAGATTGATGCAGATCCTGCAGGACACACGACACCGGGTCTTGCCAGGACAGATTGCTGCAGATCCTGCAGGACACACGACACCGGGTCTTGCCAGGACAGATTGATGCAGATCCTGCAGAACACACAACACCGGGGCTTGCCAGGACACATTGATGCAGATCCTGCAGAACACACAACACCGGGGCTTGCCAGGACAGATTGCTGCAGATCCTGCAGGATACACGACACCGGGGCTTGCCAGGACAGATTGCTGCAGATCCTGCAGGATACACGACACCGGGGCTTGCCAGGACAGATTGATGCAGATCCTGCAGGAGACACGACACCGGGGCTTGCCAGAACAGATTGATGCAGATCCTGCAGGATACACAACACCGGGGCTTGCCAGGACAGATTGATGCAGATCCTGCAGGATACACAACACCGGGGCTTGCCAGGACAGATTGATGCAGATCCTGCAGGATACACGACACTGGGGATTGCCAGGACAGATTGATGCAGATCCTGCAGGATACACGACACCGGGGCTTGCCAGGACAGATTGATGCAGATCCTGCAGGATACACAATATGGAAACTCAAGTCGCACACAAAAACACAACCAAAAAACATGTTTATAGGAACAGCAAATCTTGCAAAGTTTGGACACTAATGAACCCAAACTTAACTAGATTTCAATTTCATTCTGGAGTCAATCATTATCAGATTCAGACAACCTCCGCAGTCATGCAGAATGAGTCAACTTTTCTTCAGCTCTGTTCTCCCTGTTTGTGGTGGGAGCTTTTGTCGCGTGGTGTACTTAACGGCAATATTTCATCATTAGCGGTCCAAACCACACAAAAATCATATCCACATTTTTTCGTGCCAGATTTAAAAATTCTGCCCATCGCACTAATCATAAATCAGCTTGAAATAATTGAATTACTCAGTAGTGAAGTGCCAAGAAGCATAACCCCATTATCTCCGTGTTTATGGGGATGGTGGGAAGAGTGGTGTTACGATGAAGCGCAAGTGTCTTCATGTAGGAATAAACTATTGCGCTGGAATGATAATATCATCCATTACAGAAACTATCAGCTCTAAACTTGTCATAAACAGTGGGCATGTTATTTCAGTAATATTTCCAGTTCCCCACAAAGCTCGATCTGTTGATGGCAATGGCAAGAAAAAAGCTTGTTAGCATCTGACAGCGGGGTTATTTCCACGTAATAAAATATCAAACAGTTTGTGATTTATCACGACCACAAGCAACTAGTTGAGACAGGTTTGTCAGGAAAATAATATTTTTGGATCCGCACCATAAAGAGTTATCCCTTGAGCGCCAGACTGCCGATGACAGGCCTCAAGCGCCATTATCCCGCCGTGTTTGTGCAGCACCAAAAACTGAAGATAACGCCATGTTTATGCAACCAACTTTAACCACATATAAGACACACGATGACGGAACTAAATTCTCCATGAAAACAGCTTCAATCTGATAGTGTTTATACAACACTAGACTGTCCAAACAAAAGTGGTTTTAGGTCGATTAATTGGAGTGGTATCTGTGTGATCGATTTCCCTAAAAAACTGAAGCTACAAATGATGGCGGGTTTTGTCTGGTGTCCCCGTGACTGAGTGGTAAAATGCAGTATTAGGAGGGGAGTTGGGAAACTAAGCCAATATTATCGCTACTGTGTCCACTCAAGTGTTGGCGAAGCTGCAGCCCTCAGCGGCCGGTGACAGATGTGCACAGAGGCTACTTAAAGAGCTTCCCTATATTGATTGTCATCCACACGGGTCTGCGACATGGTCTAGAACCTGTGTCTGTAAAGAGTGTCTGCAACATGTTCTAGTACATGTGTCTGTAACCTGTCTGCGACACGGTCAAGTATCTGTGAATGTAACCTGTGTCTGCGACACGGTCTAGTACCTAAAGTGTCTGTAAAGTGTGTC